GGGGGGTGGTAAAAATCCTGTGTAAAAGCACAATCTGGGAACAGACAGGCTGGAAAGCACCTAAGCACCTTATCAGAAAATATCCTGGGGATCCTGGTGGACACCTGAATGGCCATCAGATAGCAATGTGGCCTTGTGCCAAATGCCAATGACATCCTGAGCTTTGGAGAGGATACCCCTGCCAGCAGGGCAAGGGAGGTGATACTTCCCCCCTAGTCAGAAGTTTTAAGGCACATCTTGGTGTTGTGTCTGGTTCTGGGCTCCACAGTACAAGAGAAACATGGACATGGTTGGAGAGAGCCAATGAAGGGCCACAAGATGATTTAAGTATTGCAGCATATAGAGCAGCATAGAATACCTAGAGAGGCTAGGAAAGCTGGTCTGCTCAGCCTGGAGAAGGGAAAGTTCAGTGACAACTGAACTATCAACATCTATAAATACCTGATGGCAATCCAGAAAGAAGATGTAGATGGACTCTTGCAAGTGGTGCTCAGTGACAGGAAAAGAGGTAATAAGCACCAATAAAAACCAGATGTAATTCCAGCTGAACATACTAAAAATATTTCTATTCATTGAAAGAGGCCAGACACTGGAAGAGCCTACTCAGAGAGGCTGCAGAGTCTCCATTCTTGGACATACTCAGATTGGACACTGTACTGGGCAGCCTGCTGTAGCTGATACTGCTGGAGCAGAGGGCTGGATCTACTGGAGAAGTGTACTACACCATCTCCAGAGGTGTCTGCCAGTTTCAGCCACTAAGTGATTCTGTGATTCTGTTACTAATTTGCTTGTCCTGTGCTCAGAGTATTCAAAATCAACCTCAAAATATTTATTAACTTACTCTAAGCAGCAAACAATAAACACTCTACCGGACAGACACCTTATCCTGTCACTGCAGCAGGATAAGAATGTCAAGTCCTCAGAAGAATTATTGTCTTGTATGAGCATGTAACAGAAGAAATAACCAAAAATTACTAATTGAATCTAACAAGTATAATGAGTGACATTTAACATATAAGAGACATTATACACACACACACATATATATATATATGATATACAGGCATCTATACATACATACATACAGATACATAAAAATAAATACATCTCCATATGAAATATATTAATTATAAGTAAACATGAACACACATATACATATACAAATATAAGCACATGGTGGTAAAATGTTTCAATATACCTTACACTTTAAAGAAACATAATTTTAGTAAAAACATTGCCATGAGCAACAGTAATTGAAAAAACAACACTGTCAGCTAAGACCCAAACTGCAACACTTAAGTCTACTTTTTTCCAACACCCCAAACTTCCCATACACTAACACGCTATGATACACTGAGAGCTTTTAACCTTTTTAAGAACAAATTCAGCAGACAGTACTGAGAAATAAAAAACACACCTCTCTGTCTCTAACCTCGTATCTTAAGATGAATACAATGGGAAATGAAGAACTTTACAGAAAGTGACCTGCACACTTCAAGCAACAAGAAAGATAAAACTGTTTTTCATAGCACTCCTTTTCTGACATCAAAATAGAAGAGCATTACTAAATTATGTCAGTCCCTGAATTAAGATTGTTGGTACAGTAACCTTAGTAGACTTTGCTTTCAGCTGGATGCTACATGAAGATACCACAAAACACACAGCAGCAAGACTCAAACATTTGACACCTTATCTGACCAGTAACAATATTTAAGTCACTACTATTGCTTAGAGCAGAGACAGCTTTGGTGCTCACAAACATTACCTTCTATCCCTAAAACATAAGATTAAATAAAACCTTTCCATCCTTGCAGGGGCAAGGGGCCTTATATGCTCTGATCAAGGGTTTTAGAGTAACCTGTGGCTTCCCAGAGATGTAAATGAAATTAACAGCTATTGTCATTCCACAAGCTATGGAATGTGCTGTGCTACAAACAGAATTAAAAACCTACACATCACTTCAGGTGATGTTCTCAGCCTTGTTTCACCCCCACAATTCTGGTGAACATACTAGCATTTTGAGCATCTCAGCTGTCCTTGTTACCAAGGGAATAAAACATCATTTGGGGTAATTCGAGAAATCTCTAAGTCCCACTACCTGTAGTTTAAAAATACAACAGAGTGACAGGTCCTACAAATTATGACTTCTCATGGAAATGCCATAAATACTACAAAATGGTTTGCAGCACACAGCAAAGAATAACCTGAAAAATCCAAGAGCAGCAAAACAAGACCTAAGGAAATATCTGACTGCCTCATAATTTACAGCACACAAGTTAATAGTAACTGCATTGGAAGGGGTGGTGGGCTGGGTGGGGGCACACATGGTGGGGGGTAAAAATAGAAACATTATAACAGAAAAAAAAAAGTTGGAAAATCATCAGGGGTAGAGTTGGACTAGATAAGAATCAAAGGAATGAAGTTATGGCCCACATTTCCACTAAAAACATTGGGGCAAGAAATGGAAATTCATTTTAGAATAGATTTTACTATATTTGCAAACAGTTTAATATTTCCTGAATACTTGTGACAGCAAGGCTCAAGCCTCAGCGAGTCAATCAAACCTATCCAGTTTGATGTTCAGTGCTCCACCAGAGCTGTGTCAGACCACAAAGTTCTAGACCCTGGTACTTACCACAATTTTAAAGCAAAAATGACCAAGCTCGATAACATGAAAATGGAAAGGTTACCATGGATTCTAAAGAGATACAGAAAATCTGTACTAAATTCAAACATCAAAAATATAACAAGAAAATGCATGTCACACGTAATTCAGAAGTTTGAAACAAAACCCAGTAAGGTGAAGAGTGCTTTGCAAAAATTAAGCCAAAAAAAGAAAGGTCATGGCTTCTTGAAGACATTCACTATACAGGATGTATCCTGAAAATACTGTTCGGTCACTGGTCCTAGAAAATATATCTTCCACACCTTCAAAGTATGTAGCAGACTTTTACTGGCATATGGCAGTATTTTCAAAACTACCTTGTTATTCTGTAGAACCAGAGTTGCACTGGAGTATTTCTTCAAAGTTTGATGTCTGCTAATTTCCTGAAGAAAACAATTCTCTTGTTGTCTACAGACACATCTACTGTTAAACTAAAAAAATCTCTTGCCAACAGACTGACAGATATGCACAACGTGGGAAGTGGCAAATGCACAAGAAACAGAGTACTAGCCCAGTATGTACATATTCCCTTGAAGACTTCCTTCTGCAACTGAACTTACTACATAGTGTAAAAATTTCAGATAGTATTACCAAGTCATCAGTAGAAGGTGTATTTTTCTGAATCTGCCTATGCTGTATCTGAAAGAAGACACCAAATGAAGGAAGCCAGTTGCCTTTCTTTCCTTCTTATTCTAGAGCTTGTTTCTAATAATTTCAATTGTGTTCCTGCTCTGTTTTCACAGAATGAGAGGGTGAGGAAGGTAGGAAGGCAGTAAACAGTGAGACAGGACACTGGGGAGAACAGACACATTTGCAAGCCAGACTGTCTTTTTCAGCTCTGAAGTTTGAAATTGATGATGGGAAACTGAACTGAAAATGGATTAAAAAAAAACCCAACAATGTTATCATAAATAGGAAAAATTAAATGCTTTAATCATTAAGTCAAGACAGTTGCAAGATTTTGGCCTAGGAAGATGGGAAGATGGAAAGACTTCACTTTCTCCTCAGATTTTTTCCTTTAACTGAGGAATTGCTTTAATTTAAATAAGACTTTGTCTTCTTTTTACAAAGACTTGCTTAATTTTGATGCATTTTTTTAATGAGAAATAACAGAAAAGTAATTTTCTCTACATACTGACATCTCAGAAGGAGAAATTTCAGTATTCTATACTGTGAAAGTACAGAATATTTGCAATTCTTAGTAAGTATTGCTAACTACTAAAACTGTGAATTTTATATAATATAAGCTTAAGCCTTCTTTCTTCATAACAGAAATTTCAACAAGAAATTTGTAGCTGGAGTTCATTGAGAAAGATTAGCAGACAACTAATTACAATGATACTGATCAGACATCCAGATATAGACATGTGAAGCATAACTCACATACTAGTGATATCCAAAAATACTATTACTTATTGCATTACCACTAAGTATCTAGGAAGGAAAACATTACAGCACACAAAACCCCCCATATGACTGATTTACCACATAGTTTCCCATAAATCTAGAGGATTGGTTATATGGAAAAACATATAAGAAGGCTTCACTTTAAAATAGGTGTAGTCTTCATCTCTTTATTACCTCATGTTCAGATCTTATGTTCAAAAATGTCTTTATTTTACTTCCATATTTTAATGAGGTGTTTGTGCTAAATTCTAAGAGGTTGTTCTGCAAAGAATATCAAAGAATTCATTTTGAGAAATTTGAAGTTCAAAGATTTGGCCAACTCAGACTGCAATATCTGAAGCTGAAACCAGCAAGCAGCAACTTTGCAAACTTGATTACCTGACTCTAAAATGCCTTCTTTGCTGTCCCCAGTCCTCACACATATATATTTTTCTGAGAATAACTGCAGGAGATAAATTCTATTAGTCCATTGCTGAATTTCACAAATTCCATTGACTGTCTCTTTCAATACAATCTTCCAATAAGCTTACGCATGTTTATTGACTTTTTAAAACCCAATTGGTATTATTCCTTTTAAACATGAAAATCATTTTTCTTGTAAAGGCATCACCTTTCTTGTAGAGATTTCAACATGACAAGATTTCAAGATGACAATTTAGTTCAGATGCATCAAAAAAAAAAATTTCTTGGTTTTTGTTTAAAAAAAAAAAAAAACTTAGAAATTTACTCCCTAAAGAATTTTTGTGCTTGGAAAGTAAAGAGGAGTATCCATACCAATGATTTCTACTTCCCAACTGCAGCTCACCATTTAAAGAATATTGAAGGGAATATTATTAATCTGACATAGGAATGAAACAATGTGTATGCCCCTGAAAATAAGAAGTAAAACACAGAATTTCCTGACAATTGACATAGAGTTACCAATTATCTTCTGACATTACCTTAATTCTGGGGAATTCAGTAGTCTTTTCAATTCACACAATTCATTCTGTCCTTTAGTTCTTTTCCAAGAACAAATAATGCAGCACTAATCTTACAGATTCAGTGTAAAGAAATAGTGTGTGAGACCTAAGATTAAGCTTAAATCACTGCACTTTAAACCTTTAGCACAGGCCTACGTAGACTTTTGCTGACTTGTCAGATTTTACTCTAATTAAAAAGTTACACTTAGGCTTAAAGCTTTTTCAAGTTTAGGGTGTTCAGCCTCTCTAATTAATGTTCATGTCACTAATCATATTGTTACTTAGTTACTTTCAGTCGAGATTGGTAGTTCTCTGACACAATGCAAATTACAGAAGTATAATTTCTTAAATCTATCATTACTGAAAAACAGGTAAGATATACAAGAGTCAAAATGTATCAGGAAGAGTCTACATAAACTGGCAGACTTCCAAAAGCCTTATGTCTTGTGAACAGAATTCTAAAACCACACTGTTGCACAGAAGTATCTTCAATGCACTATAATGCTTTCCAACTGGAACAACAGCCTTTTTGAGAGGATTCAGACTTAAAGGTATTATGAAATACTTAGCTCCGACCACATCACAATCCTTTTGGAAACGTTCTTCCTGTTTCACATCTACCTGAGACAACAAGTTACTGCATATACTGTGCCAACTTTTAATTTGCTCTCTTGTCTCTGCTAAATCAGTTTCCAAATCCTGCAAAGAAAGTAACTGACATGCATTAAGAAGAAATAATTAAAATCTGATATGCAAGTTATCTATGTATATAGATATATGGATGTGCCCATACATACCTGCATACGTTTATTGAAGTCTAAGCAAATACATATAGGTAGGTATATGTGCATGTATGAAAAATGTGAAATGCCAGGAAAAAAGGTGTATTTCAAACTTTAGGTGGCTACCTTTTCTTTAAGAAATTTTCCTTAACTCAGTTGCTGAATCAAGCCTTTTCAAAACAGTAATTCTCTATTTAACTACTAAACTGATTAAACCTTGTTTTCTATGTAGAAGTTCCTTAAAAAAGCAGCTATGCATTCATTGTTTTAACCTCTCACAAAAATTCACAATATCATGTCTATGAACAAAGAATTATAGCTACAGATTCATTTTTGAGACTGCTTGTTAAATCTGTTCTTATTTTGCACTATTCAGTGCAAGGAATAGCTTCTTCAGGAAAAGAAACAGCATACCAAAAAATTTCTGAAAGTGCTCACTGAAAACAATGCAAACGAGCAAGGGTCTGCCTTTTACCATAAGCCCTACTGTAGAAGTTAGTCAGCAAACTGCAAAGGTCTATCTAGGAAACACAGCAGCAAGGCAGCTTACCCAAAAAAGACTTCAATGTCTACACAAACCTTGCTGGAGTTCCCTAAGAAGAGCACATCAGTCCTCACCAAGCTTTGTATGACTTTTCTCCCCAGAGTTTTTTGAGGCAAGAATAGAAATACAAATATTACAGCAATATCAAGAACAGAATTTCAGATGGTGGCAACAGCCTTAGACCTGCTTTGGTATTTTGCTACTCACAGATGCAATCACTCGTTCTCAGTAAGGCAAGTATTTAATGATTCATTAATAATTTAAAATAAAAGTCTCCTCTTAGAATATCCTGATCCACTACCAAAAGTATATTAGTTTTCCATTTACATACAGACTTAAAGAAATAAGAAAATGTACATTTTTCCCTTTCAGCAATGATGCCTTAAATACTGAGGTTATCAAAATATTTCTATAAGTGAAAAGTGAATAATTAAATTCTAAATAAATTAAATTCCTTAAAATTGCATAAAAATGTCTTACAGGTATTTAGATGTATCAGAAGTTTACTGCAATCAAATTCCTAGAAATTGTATAAAAACTATCATGTCCTGTTAATAACAGTAACATTGATGTATGGAAATAGCAAAATTCTCAAGTGAATGACGTAGCAAATAAATTTGTTTCTTGACAAATATCAGGCTACATACCTGGTATACCCATTCAATGCCAAAGGCTAGGTAGACAAACTTAAAAATTTTTCCTTGAATAATGAAAAAATTCAAAATTAAAGGAATTCATTCCTAATGTGTTCATTATCAACACATACATTTTAAGTGTAAAAAGGTATTTATAACTTGCAGACAAGTAACTGTAGGGTTTCTCCTCAGTATTTTTCTCCTCTGCAGCTAAAGGTATTGAATATGTGAACAAAAATTGTAATAGTTCATATATTCTGTGAATAAATTCTATTTACCTATTTCTAATACCACACTACAGAGTTGCAGGTTTTCCATGGAAGAGATGAAAAAAACCTAACATTACCCATGCTTTAAGTTCCCATCATCCATTGCAGAGTACAATACAAAGAATATGTAACACATTATTTTGTCATAAGTAAAACTTCAGAAGTTATCCAATGGCAGATTTTAAAATTAGGAAAAAAGTATCTTTCAGTACTTCATTTGTGACATATTTAACTTCAGCTTTTGGTTTCAAGTAAGAAATTCATCATCTCAACCTTCTGAACGTATTTTGAAAACTCAAATTTTTTGGAAGCATTACTGAAAGAGTAAAACATGAAAAAAGGGCAAGAAAAAACTTGTTATACAAATACCTTAGATACTGAAATAAGTTCAGCTGAATACTGAAATCTAAAATAGAAAAGCTCAGCTGAATACTGAAACCTAAAATAGAATCATAGAATGGTTTGGGTTTCGGAGGGATCTGAAAGGTCACCTACTTCCAACTTCCTGCCATGGGTAGGGAGCTCTCTCTACTAGGTCAGGCTGCTCGAGGCCTTATCCAACCTGGACTTGAACACTGCAAGGATCTGCCCACTCCCTGGGCAACCTGTTCCAGTGTCTCCTCATCCTCATAGTAATGAATTTCTTCCTAATATCTAACCTAATTTCCCCTCTTACAATTCGTCCTGCTCCTTGTCCTATCACCACAGTTCCTGACAAAGCATCCCACTCTGGTTTTCCTGCAGGCCCTGGTCGGATCCTGGAAAGTTGCTATGAGGTCTCCACACAACTTTCTCCTCCTCACGCTGGACAGCCACAACTTGCTCAACTTGTCTTTTTAGGGAAGGTTGTCCAGTTGCCTCATGGCCCTCCTCCAGACTTGTCCAGGAATACCATGGGAATACCTTATGTTGGGAACACCAGAAATATACAGAGCACTCCTGGTGGGGTCTCACAAGGGCACAGCAGAGGGAGAAAATCACCTCCTTTAACCTGCTGACACATCTCTTTCAATGTAGCCCATTACACAGATTTCTGGGCTGCAGGTGCACATGGCAGGCTCATGTTGAGTTTTTCATCAACATCATATTTTTGACCATGAAATAACCTATAATATCTTACACTCAGTTTCTGAGTATCTGCATTTTTAAGATCATATGGAATTTATCACATTCCCTTCTTGTTGATACAGTAGCCAAAAACGTTAACTGTGTAAACATGCTATGTAAATTTGTGAAAATTTACCTAGCACAAATACTCCTAATCTGGGTTTCTAAATTACAGTTCATTTCAATGGAGTGTTTAAGATTCAAGCTTTTAAAGCCTATTAAAAAAATGCTACTTGAAACAGTCAAAACATCGAATAATTCAGTTATACAAGAGCAAAAATGCATATTTATAAAGGACAAAGTGCAAGACAGCAAGAAAAGGTCAATTTAAAAGAACTTCAAACATGAAAAGCATAAGAAAACCAAGGCTTGAGGAAGTACAGTTATGCCCATTATGGAGTCACTATGAATTAACACCACAGTTTTGCTATTTGTAGCTTCAAACCCTTTGGAAGTCACTTTCAAAGACAGTAGCTTTGTTTTCATATTTTTTCCTATTATATATTACGACAGAAGTGAGAGTAATTTTTCAAGGTCCCATCTCAATAAAACTCTCATTTTTCTTTGGAACTAAAAACCCAGGCTCCTCTTGAGAGAGATGGCTGTTTCTTTGGAAGTTCCAAGCTTCAGACTTCAGAAACTTCAAAAAGTACTGTGCTTACTAGGAATTAACAAAAACAACCAACCAACCCACTAGTAAGCAATTCCACTATCTTTTACTTCACCTCCATTTAAAATCTGCCAGTCTGACATTTTTTCATCTACATACAAAGCCTTTTGTGACTCGAGTTTGAGGGAAAATATATTCATCTTGATACTAAATAATAATTTAGGTAACCTCCACCTAAAGAACAACCAAATAACTCAAATAACTAACTGATTCTTAGATAGGGAAGACAGATAGCTGACTGATGACTTTTTCATTTGTTCACTTTCAAGACATATAGAAAGCTCATATATAAGCTCTGGGAATCACAAAAGAAGCACAAAAAGTTCTCAAGAACTACTTAGGCAGAAAGCAAAGACTTAAGTCAACTTTCTGTACACTATACATTATTTATATGAAGGTACACACAGAAAAGAAAAATAATAAAACACTATTGTCAGCCTTTTAGCCTCCTTATTAGGTATCCTCCTATTAAGCTCTCACACTGATTTCAGCTAATATGACACAACTTTAAAGAAATGTTCTTTAAAAGGACGAACTACCCATAGCATCTTTTCCTTTCTCTCAATTTGAAGAAGTTGAATTTTATATCTGGTTATCGTAGGTTACAATAACAATCAGTCTTCAAAAGTGAGAAGTGTTATTTTTCTTCAATAGAAATGGTTTAAAGACAGAAAAGGAAAAAAGAAAAAAAAAAAAGGTTAACACTTCAGCCTTTTTACAGGTGACCACTTTTCCTAAGAAGCAATCTGTGATTTAGATCACATATTTCTAACATCTAATACACATTTTAGAGGCAATGTTGGGCTAGCATATTTTGATAAGGATTCTTTTTATTCTTTCAGACAGAGGAGACTAACATGGATAACATCTGTATACAACACGTCTTTAAGACTGTTAAATGCCATGTCTATTAATGAAAAACATATGTACATAAAGATGCTGATTCAACTCCCAAATTAAAGGGTGAGAAGCAGCCACGCTCTCAGCGCCCCTGGATGCAGTTAATTTCAGAGAGTTCCAGTGGAAGTGTACCAATCAAGTTCTCTCAGGTATCTTCTAACACATCCAACTCTCAGTACTTCATACTGCAGTCTGTCTCTTGGTACAAACTTTTGGGGACACCTTGGAGAAGACTGAGGCAAAGACAATATTAAGTAGTCTGCTGGATCTATTAACTTTTGCAATTAATTCATCATTCAATTTCAGCAGCAGGTCCCCTTTTCCCTTGTTCACTGATAAAGCAGTTCCAAGAAATTCTGGTTGTATCAGTCGTTATTTGCAACTCTCAACTGCACATACGTTAGCACCACCCTTCAGTGTCTAGACAATAGTTCTGAACTCCCCCTCTACAGCTTTCACTGTTTCCACTTCCTGAATACTGTTTTCCATCTGCAGCCTGCACTAGTGGTGAGATCCGTTTAGCCAAGCTGATCTGTTGAGACATCCACTTTTTCTCCAAAGTGGACCATACTTGGGCTTGGAGAAAGCTGTCTTTAAAGATGTTATAGTTTTTCCTGAGCTCTTTACCCTTCAAAACTGCTTCTCACAGGATTCCACCTACCAGTTCCCTGAACATCTGAAGACTCTGCTTCTTAACTCCAGGGCTGCACAGCACAACTTTCCTTCCATCACTGACTCAAGGTCATGACAACTTCATAGTCATTATAGCCAAGACTGCAAATGATCATTATCTTCTTATCAAGTTCTTCCTAGTCTGTAAACAGCAAATCCAACTATGTGACATCCCTGGCTATCTCAGGAAACACCCATCCCCAGAAGTACTCTCTTTCACACTCTAGACAACAACTTAACCTGCCTTTAAACACCCCTTTGAAATACCAACACTAATTCCCATCCCTACAATCACCCAGCTCTTTCATTCATCAGCATGCCTCATCAGCCAGGAAGACAGAGACAGAGAAGTTATTCTGACTGTGCTAACTGAAAGGATGGGTAACAGATTTTCAACAACTCGTCCAATATTATAAGCACAACATTTGACAACTTAAAAATTATTTTATCAGTTTGGCAGTTAATAGATTTTTCTCACCCAAGAATCAAGGAATCATTTCTTGTCCTAGGAACTCTATAATCCTTTCATCATAACCAGTCTGAAGAAGTCAATCTGCAAGAACTTTACTTCCCATGTTAAAAGATCTGAATTAAGCTCTTTCAAAAGAGCTTCCATCACCACAACAACACAAAAATTGCTAGCATGGGAAAAAAAGGGCATTTCTGGGTGAGGTGTTAATTAGATAGTTATTGCAATGAATGTGCTTCAATAATGTAAAAGAACACAGCATTGCAAGAGTACATTCATCATGCAAACAAAAAGAATCCACCACCTAAATGTGTATATAAGCAGCTGTTGAACTAAGATTAGCCATGTTTGTGGCTCATTTCTTGGAGGAATTTAAAAAACACTAGCCAATTTCCACCAGGAAATGAGAAAAAGTATGGTTTAAATAAAAGAGAAAAGACTCTGTACTATGTATTCAGTTATTTTCTTTTTTGCTTTATCGTAAACTATGAAAAAAACTTTTTAATGTATTATAAGCAATAATAAGACCCCTCACAGAATAGAGACATTTGGAGACTAGGGTGCAATTTATTTGGAACTATATGTTCTTCCAAAACAACAAAGATCAAGGCTACTGCAACAAGATTATAGGTAAGTAAATTACAAATCAAGAAAAAAATTGTGGTAATACTTTTTAATCTTTTATTATTTCAAACACACACACATATGTGTGTGTGTGTATATATATATATATATATATATATTTATATATATATATAAAATCTCAAAGTACAGCATCTTTTATTTTTTAATGATTACATTTTAAGATGACTATTTGAAGTCAGATTCCTGCTTTGCAGCATCAATTTTTAAAAAGCTGTGGGTCTTAAGTGATAGAATGTAAATGAATGCAAGTCCCCACTGGTAGATTTGAATATATAACTTGCTATTTAAAGAAAATAACTTGTAGTGAAATGTCTGGAGAAGTTAATTTCAAATAACATCCACGAGTCTGTTCCACTTCGTACCTTTATTCTGGTATCATTGCCAGATTTTTTTTTTTCCACTGTGCCTCCTGCTTCCTCAGTTTCTCCAGGTCACTTAGCAGGTCAGCACAGCATATATTTAATCCCTTATTTTTCTCCTCCAGGTTTTTTATAACCAGTCTGTTTTGCTCTTCCTTCTTCTGTGCACACTCCTCAGTGTCCTGTAGAACAGTACCACAAGGGCCGATAAACAAAAAAGTGAGAACTAATCAGCAAATATAAACTGTGCAGTTTTACCCTCACAGCAGCTTCTATATTTGATGGCCAAGGTCACCTGTGCACTTTTATTGGCCTCTTTCATGCAGGTGGAAGGGTCATATTTTTTAGCTGGATGACAGCTTTGATGAGTACACATTTGCAAAGAGCCCATTAATTGATCAAGCTGCCTTTGATGCTGTCCCCAGCTATTTTTGAGACCCACACAGACATATCCTCCCAGACCTCAGCTTTATCAATTAATAATGCCAGTCCCATCAGAATCTAATTACAAGAAGCCACATCTTCACACTTCTACTTTCTTTGCTCCATTTCCATCATTAACTATTTATCTGAAAGTTATAAAGCTTGGATTCTTGGCTTTAAAGCATCTTTCTCAGTTAGTATGTGAGAAAACAGTAAGGTATAGCAAGGCCTAAGGCAATTTTTTCTCCAAGCTTGTCACTTTCTGTGCCACAAAGGCTGACACTGCTTAAAGAACTACTTCAAAGATACAGTCTTATGAAACTATGTACAAGTCAATATACCTTAAGTTCTTGGCTTTTATCTTTAAATTTCCAGTTCAAGCTACCGAATTCATTCTTCAAACGGGTATTTTCCTCATCCACAGCATTTTTTCTCTGCATTAAGCTGTTTATCTCCTGCTGCTGTCCTGTGAGCCTCTATTTTAAAAAAACAAAACAAAAAAAAAACAAAAAAAAAACCAAAAACAAAACAAAAACAAACAAACAAAAAACAAAAACAAAAAACCACAGACACACAAAAAAAACCCAACCCTGAAACCTGTTCATAGACAAAAAAGCAAGTGCAAAAGACCATGCATGTTCTGTGTTACAGGCCTATGAAATGTAACTGACATATGCAGTTTTTATAGCATTATTCTAATTCCATTAGTACTTTAATCATACTCAAAGCTGAATGACTATAAGACACAGTAATGCAAATGAGGAACCAAATACCCTGCTACTACTGAACAAAGAAGCCTATAAATGCAGAACTGAATGGAAATTACTCAGTGAAGCTTATGCAAAAACAGTCATTTACAGAAGATGTACCTGTGTTTATGGATTAAAACAAGTACATGCATTAGAATACTGTTTAGCTTGCACTTATAGCACAACAAAAAAATCAAGCCAGAGCTGAATTCAAAATCCTGCAGAATTTTCAGAACTTGCCACAGTAAACAAAAATTACTATTGAGTGAGGCTACCAAAATGATTATGATAAAAAATACTTTTAAAGAGAATTAAGTCTGGCTGAATTTGCAGCTCAAGGAAAATAACACAACATTGTTCATCACATACTATGGGTTAGTTCACCCACATACAGAAAAATCTCACTGTCACAAAGCAATGACTTCATTTGATTCTCATGACACTTGCATTAAACACCCTCACTCTTCAATACCTATTAGAACTCTGTTTTTCTCTCCAGGAGTCTGCTTTAATTCCACATTCTGTTTTGTCCCATCTCTTTATAAATCAAAAGGGCTTTAATCTATAATATTTTCCTAGCAGTGACACCATAACTGTGGTACAAAACCGATAAAACTTTCATGTCGGTACTGAAGTATAACTGCTTTGCTTTTAATACACAAGCTAAAATGAAGTAGGTACGGAAACATAAAAAATCATCAACAAGACAATAATCCTCTAGATTATTCCACAATACATCTGATGATAAATGTGAGAGTTTTCAGTGTCTAAAGCTTACATCTGGTTCATAAGTATGTCAGACATTAAAAAAAGAATGAATATATGCTGAGCAAAAACAGGCAAAACAGTACATTTGAAGTGGCACTTTACCATTCAAAAGACAAAACATTTGTTCTTTGGATATATTATTACACTTACAGTAATAAACTGTTGCTGGCAGAAATGATTTAGATGAATCTTTAAAAAGGTATGTATCCACATTACTATGGAAAGCATCAGTAATTTTGTCTGTTACCCTCCCACTCCACAGGTCCTCATGGAACTGGAGTAAGCAGCTCCTTCGAGTCTTCCTTCTAGCTCATTACTACTTACTTAACATTTATCAAAACAAAAGTCTGTACTTGGAGACACCCTTAAAACATCATTAAAAATCTCACCTATCTAAAACAGACTCTTGGCTCTAAGCTAAAAATTCACATGCATATTTTTTATAAAAGCTCCAGCTCTTTAACACATCTAATTTCTGAGTACACAGGTACATCATACTAATAATTAGTTTCATTATACACAGCGCAGAAACTGGGAAGCATATGTGTATTTGTGAAGTCAAATCAGAGATATTTGCGTTCTGTCTTAAATGGGATGTTTTCCAGCAATTTGGAAAATTAATGGAGACAGGATGGTACAAAAGTGCAACTAGCTATTTTAAATGCTTGTTCTGTATTGCTGAAATTAAGTTTTCGACTGAAATAAACTACTTACTGTGAATATTCAGAATAGTCAGACAGGTTATCCTCAATCAGACTTGCACACTAACTACTTATGTCTACAACTGAACTGTAACTTAACACTTGAAACCAATCAAAAAGCAAATATACCACATCAATCATTAAGCACCAAACCCACCTGAGTAGTCTACAAAGTCACCTACTGCAGCACTAATTGAAACATTAATCTAGGTGAGTTACACTTGCATGGAAAAAAATCCTGTTATGTTTGAAAGCATTTTTCTGGGTTACCAATTTACATGCTCTTATCCTTTCCTCTAAATGAATTGAACTTTTACTCCCCTATCTGATTATTTCACATGCTTATAAAGAAGGGAAAAAAACCAGAAGTATCACTCAGGAGCCATGACTGGGTAGAAATAAGAGTCATATAAAGGAATTTCTGTGATACAGACAATTAAGTAAATTATCATCTGCCCTTTTCTATGCTCTTTTCGTACTTTGCTTCCTCAATCTATATATTATTTCATATAACAGGAGAAAAAAGATTGATTTCTTATTGCAGAGAACACAAGCAGTGTTCCTAAAAGATCACCCTATTCTGGTAGGCAAGTGAAACAGCAGGGGAAAAAAACACACCTGATCAACACACAGGGCAACCTCCTACACGAGGTTATTTTGACAGATTTCACTAGGTAAAACACTCATCAGGAATTAATCTATTCCCACAGTATCTACTGATATTTGTCTAGATACTATAAAGACAGTCTGACACTACACAAAAGCAATCTCAACTTACACTTTGAGTTGACTCAGTCATACTTGTTTGAATACAACAGGGCAAAGGCAATGTTTGACAGCTTGGTGGTCAAGAACCATAAAAAACCATGTAACATGTAACATCATGTTACTAAGGCATCTAAAGCACACTTCGACAAACTTTCAAGAAAGAAAACTTTTCTAAAGTGAATTTGCTCCAGTAAAAACCAAAAGAAACTGATTTTACCCTTCTTTAATTCTGGGAAGTATCAAAGAATATACTCCTTGATATACAGGAAGTATCCCTGTACAGTGCTGGATCCCAGAGAGCTCCAGGCAACAGCACATAGAAAGAAACACTGTGACCTGGGGGAGCAGACCTTTTGAAGTCTCAGAGGACTGTCATTCCCAAATTCATTTTCATCCTTTCCATTGGCATCTCTTCACTTGCAGCACAATACACTTTTTTTTTTCTTCCATAATACATAGTTTACTGGCAAATACTATTTATTTTTTATATATCTTCATAGTAACTTGAAGAGGAGGCAAAATCACATACCAAGTCAAACTGAAAAAATCTGCTATGAAGACAACAGATTAAAACCAAAAGGTGACAACAGCTCTTTCTTGTCTTAGCACTGAACACATCAATCTGTTCATGCCAGTAGGATGTTAAAATTATCTGTCCGTATTTCATGTGAATAGACACAACTAAAAGGTTTTAAATTAAAACCTTGTTTATACCCACTGTGAATTTAGACAGTACAGTACTGTATGGAGACAGTGAAAGGGGCAACAAAAGCAACTCCTTAATGCTAGGAGTCTGATTGCCAAAAAAAAAAGGGAGTTAGGATACAACTACCAGAAGTTACGTACTGTTTGATATTACAGATATCATCACTAAAATTCCAGTCTTAGTGAAATATTTTTTAATCTGCTAAATACAAAGCATGTGAAAAGAACTATATAACAAAAGCTGTACATATTATTGCCTTAAGTGCTTTCCAAATTTTCATATTTTGGGACACAAGGTAAAAAAAGTTGGAAAAACCAACCCCTAATTCTGCATTTTGAAATCAGGCACTACTAAATAAGTATTGCATAGCTGCCTCTATACAGGCTCATGAAATATAAGTAAGAGTGGGTTTTATTTCATGTGAAGAAATTAACTAAAACTGGAGTAAAAATAATCTAGGAGAAACACAAAACTGACACATCCTTCAATGTTGCTGCTAATACACAAATGCAACAATACACTGGGAGCTGAAGCACTTAATGAAAAAATTCAAATCTATGCACCACAATATTGAAGGAGTCCATCTATGAATGCAAAAAAGGGGCATACATTTGATTTCTACTATCAAAAAGGATCACAGTAACAAATACTGAATTCTGTGCTTTCTCCATCACATTCTTTATCAGAAACTTTCACTGTACAGTAGTCCACTTCCAATATACCACATGGAAAAAGAAGTTAAAATTAACATAAACTGATGAAAAATAGAAGTACTGAAAATACTGATATTATTTGAGGAAATCCTGACATCTTCTGCAGAAACAAAATTTAGTAATTAAATTATTTTATTAAAAATTAAATGCGGAAATATACTTTCTTTTAAAGTTCTTCTTCTCAGAATTGCTACTTCAACATTTTGTGAAATATTTTCTCCCTTTCATCATCTCTTTTCCCTCACCAGGTAGTAGAGGTTAACTTATCACACTTTTAACTTCTCTCCATCCAACTCCTGTTTTCATTTCTAGTAGGAATTTAACAGTAACTATACACCACTAAAAATGCTCCAGTAACATTTTATACCTTCCCTCGATTAAGCTTTCTTAAATTTTTCTCTATATTTTTTCAACTTTATTAATCCTCATGGTTCTTGAATATCTATATGCATGTTTAACAAAAAGCATTGCTAGTTATATTCTCATACAGTCCTCCAAAATAAAGAAAAAAAAAGGAAAAAAAAAACCTAACAAAAGAAATTAATTTTATTTCATCTCATGACTTCTAGATTAGATAGATCTAGATCTAATCTATATTAGATTCTTAAATTATTTTCAGACCTAGGACAAATAGAAATATAAGTTAATTCACAAAAAGGTGAGTGTCACCAGCTGCATTCTGCAGTCTGCACAGTGTCCTTTTGGAGTCTGACAACAGCTAATTATGATATAATATATGAGTTATTTTTAAATCCATACCTCTCTAAAAGTAAAACACCAACAGTGCTACCTGATTCTACTGTACATAGATTCTAAAGCATATCCATATTTGCAGCTAAATATTCAACTTGACTCTTAACAAGGATGAAAAAAGCCAATGAAAAATAGCAACAGACATATACTGCATTTAAATGTAACACATGTAACAGTATTTTGAGTGCATATCCCATTTTTAATTCTTATTACTTTTCACTCCTAACCTTCTGCCAGAACAATCTTAAACAAACTAAAAAAGCAACCACAAATAGACAGTAACTGAAGCGTGGGAGTTCAGTTGATTTTCATACCACC